TTTTATTTTTAGTCAGGGTCTCACTCTGTCACTCAGGTTACAGTGCAGCTAGACCTCCTGGGCTCAGGTCCTATGCCCAGCAATTTTTTTTATTTTTGTAGATATAAGATCTTGCTGTTGCCCAGGCAGGTCTCAAACTCCTGGGCTCAAGCAATCCTTTCGCCTTGGGCTCCCAGAGTGCTGGGATTCATACCATGAGCCACTGTCCCTGGCCTCAACAGACATGTTAAGCTGAACAGTGATGAATTTTATAGGGATATTTATTACTAAAGATGTCCCTCACTACCGAGCTTTCTTTGACTATATGCTTAGAGACTGAAAATATCTGATAGAGGAAGGAGTAAAGGATGTGCTATTCCCAAATATGCCAGATTGGTATATAGATTATGTTGTTGAAAATACTGGAGAAATTGTAGTTTCAGAAAGAGTGAATAAAACTGAGGGCTTACCTGATTAGGCCTGCCAAACTTAACTTGCCTTGCTTGCTTTTAGTCACTTACTTCGAGTTGATTTTAAAACTTAGCTAAAAGTCACATAGCTAAGCAATATATAACTAAGCTTCCACTAACTTCCTTATAGATCACATCTCTGATATATAGGTCATCATGGTAATGGTTGCTTACGTTGTTTTTCAAGAACTTAAAGTTGTCAGTTCAAGCCAGCTAAGACCACCAACCCTTCAACTCAGCTTGCATGAGTGCCCGGGGGTGACATTTTGACTACATAGAGCCAAAACGCCACTGTCCATCATTTAGTAAACATGTGTCCCATGAAGAGCCATGAAGCCTGACTATGCTTGTTTAGATCACTGATTGCCTCACTATTCTCTACCCCCAGTCACCTTTCTCCACGCCTCGGACCACCTCTCCCCTTTGTCCCGTAAGTATCCTAAAACTTCACCTTCAGAAAGATGAATTTGCGACCTCGTCTCCTTTCTCCTTGCTTGGTGGCCTTGTGAATAAACATCTTCTCCTGCTGCAAAATTCAGTGATTGTCATACTGCCTGCCAGGAAGAAGCCTGATTCGATATCAGGAGTTGACCTGTCTCTTCCTGCATGCAGCAAGCATAAAGTTTCCTCTGGGAGGGGTACCTTCTCCACGCTAGAGCTAGTAACTTGGAGTTAGAGGTTACAATGGACCTGAACAGACAGACATTCTTGACCAAGGAATCCTTATCTTTCATCTGTTTTACACCCCTTCCATATATGTCCCCAGTGACTCCCCTGGAAAACTTATTGCTTCTGGCCAGATTTTCTTTGTCCTGTCATTTCCTCCCAGAGTTACTGCTCTTTGTCTAAAAAGTATAAACCACTTACTTTGGTTACTTCCCTTTCTTTTGAAGATCCTCATGTACATGTAAAAGTAGTAAAAGTTGTATATTTTTCTCTTGGTGATCTATCTGGTGTCAATTTCGTTTCTAGATCCAGCCAAAGAACCCACTGAGAGATAGAAGGGGGGTTGGAGGTGATCTCTGGCTCCCCTACATCGTGAACCTGATTTCTGTAAATCCTCAAAAATCAAGTCACTTAGGCTAGGTTTGGAGATGGAAGACCACAAAGAGAACTCTGGAGTAATGGAAATATCCCATACCTTGATTATGGTTATCTGAGTACATGTATATATACCAAAATTCACTGGACAGCACCCCAAGTGAGTACATTTTATTGCATGTAGATTATATATCAAAAATTTAAAAAAGCTCTCAGGACAAGTCTCGCCTTTACAGCAAGAAAGGCAGGCATAGCAAATTAAAATTTGGGGAGAAGTACACAGAATACTTGCAAATGGTGATTTTAGCTTTAAAAGTGATTTTATGAATGTATTTAGACAAAAATACTCCGTTTTTTCTTGTTTTATTTGTGATCAGGATGAAAAAATTCTACACTGCTGCCAGATAAATGGCAAGAGTTAAAAACGAACGACTTTAGGGCTCACGACCACTCGAAGAGGGGAGATGCCGTGATTCCATTTGGTGGATGAGGGGCCCAGACATCCGGCAAGGGAGGCGCCCTCTCCCGCGTACACACCAGTTCACCACAGCCCTGGAAAGCCGGACGAGAGCAAGGCCAAGGCGTCAGCCCCGGCCCCACGCGGGTCACGACAGCCGGACGCGGGCCGGGCTCCGGGACCCGTGGGCGCTCCCGGGGCCCTGCAGAGCCGAGCGGCTGGGGCGCAGGCTCGTGCGTCCTCGCGCGGGCGCGGCGGTGCCGGGAAGCGGCCCCGAGACGCGGACTCGCTCCAGCCCAGCTCCGCCAAGGGCTCGGTGCTGGGGGCGCTGTCCCGCGGCCCGGGGCCTGGGCG